ATCAATGAACATAGCAGACGTACTGAGACAACAGCCGGGTCTAACTATTAGGTACTAAGAACCACTCAGGTGATCCCATACGAAGAAAAAAATCATCATAATTGGTATAGCCGTTTAGGATAATAAGAATTACGAACACGCACACCTGAACTTTTTATATAAAGACTAGGCGTGCAACATATTATTATTCTTAATAAACAAACTATCCAAAAAAAAAAAAAATACTTAACCTGATCAAAATTTGGTGGTCGGCGTACAATTTCTGGAAATGTTTACGTAAAACACGGGAGCGCCTGCGATGCAAAGTGATACGTCCTCGCTCTGGAAAGGCCCGGTCGTCACTGTTTCAGTTTATACAAAGGTACTCTGTGGTCACTGATCGGATCGATTTTGCGCGGTCGATAATATTGTTCACTTTGCCATTTAGTAATAAACGAAATTATTATTTATTTATGAAATAAAATTTAGTTTCCAATAAAGGGTTACCTTAAGATTAATGTGTAATTTTTTAAATTAATTAAAAGTGTTTCTATGTAACAGAAAAAAATACTTATTTCGAACGAGGTTTTCTGGAAATTACGTTATTTCAACAATTTTTTCTGCTATATTTGGATAGAAATCAAAAAAACTGATCTGGCTACAAACAAGTAGACCGTATATTTATGTTCTTTATATTTTTTAATGTTTGAAATATTTTGTAGTTTCGTTGTAAAACGAAGACAAAGATCACTTGACCGTTACTTTTCGGAAAAAGGGTTGTGAATATTGGTGATTTTCCATTATTATATAGATAATATGATACATCCCTTCAAGCCAGATATCAGATTAAGAACTAGACTATTATAATAAAAATAAAAAAAATTAAAATTCGTTTTCCTGTTCATACAAACAGTAATCAGATTTGTCCGAAATGAGTTGATTTCGCGCACGGGGCCTTAATGTAAGCGAGACAGCAACCCGAACGAGTACACACGTGAGGACACACATCGTCGTGCGGAGAGCGTATTTTTTGAAAAGTTAATGTTGTGTAAAAAGATTTTTACGTTGCATTGTTAATTTCATTTGGTTATTCCTTTAAATTTAAAGTAATTTAGTAATTTTTGTTAATTGATTGCTTGGCGCTGACTCAAAATTACTTAAGTATACTTACAACAGTTTAAAAACTTATTTATTAAGGTTAATTAAAAACTCAAAATAGTTACAAAAATAAATACTTAGGTACACTTACATTAGTTTAAGAACTTAGTTCATCATCATCATCATTATTACCTATTTTCCGTCCTCCATGGTGGCACTACTCCGGAGGCGTGGAGCAGAAGTGCGGTGGTCTTGTTCTTTAAGAAAGGCGACAACGCTCTCTTGAAGAACTACAGACCGATTTCCCTTCTGAGCCGCGTCTACGTGCTGTTTTCGAGAGTCATTACGAATCGTCTCGCACGCAGACTCGACGACTTCCAGCCTCCCGAACAAGCCGGTTTCCGAAAAGGCTTCAGTACCATAGACCACATACATACCCTGCGGCAGATTGTACAGAAGACTGAAGAGTACAATTTGCCACTTTGCCTGGCGTATGTGGACTATGAGAAAGCCTTTGATTCCGTCGAAATTTGGGCGGTGCTGCAGTCCCTTCAGCGGTGCCAAGTTGACTGTCGGTATATCGAAGTGCTGAAGTGTTTGTACAGTAGGGCTACGATGGCTATCCGAGTACAGAACCAGAGCTCGAAACCTATCCAACTGCAGAGAGGTGTAAGACAGGGTGACGTTATATCCCCGAAACTCTTCACCGCTGCTTTGGAAGACGTTTTCAAGCTACTGGACTGGAAAGGATACGGTATTAACATCAATGGCGAGTACATCACTCACCTTCGATTTGCCGACGATATAGTCCTTATGGCAGAATCGCTGGAGGACTTAAGCACTATGCTCAATGACCTCAATAGTGCCTCCCAACGGATAGGTCTTAAGATGAACATGGACAAAACAAAGATTATGTTTAATGTCCATGTCACACCTATGCCGGTAGTTGTTGGAAGCACTATGCTCGAAGTTGTTGACGAGTACGTTTACCTGGGACAAATATTCCGACTAGGTAAGTCCAACTTCGACCGAGAGGTCAATCGACGGATTCAACTCGGCTGGGCAGCGTTCGGGAAATTACGACATATCTTCTCGTCAGGTATACCTCAATCTCTGAAAACTAAAGTGTACAACCAGTGCGTGTTGCCAGTGATGACTTACGGATCAGAGACGTGGTCCTTCACTGCTGGCCGTATGAGGACGCTCAAGGTCGCTCAGCGAGCTATGGAGAGGGCTATGCTCGGAGTTTCTCTGCGTGATAGACTCAGAAATGAGGATATCCGCAGTAAAACCAGATTGACCGACATAGCCCAACGGATTAGTAAGCTGAAGTGGCAATGGGCCGGCCATATAGCTCGAAGAACCGATAACCGATGGGGAAGAAAGGTTCTCGAGTGGCAGCCTCGTACCGGTAGGCGTAGTGTAGGGCGACCCCCCACTAGATGGAGTGACGAGCTGGTAAGATATGCAGGAAGTCGATGGATGCAGGTGGCTCAGGACCGTGCTTTGTGGCATTACTTGGGGGAGGCCTATGTTCAGCAGTGGACTTGTGAAGGGCTGTGATGATGATGATGATGATGATCATTATTACAGCCCTTCACAAGTCCACTGCTGAACATAGGCCTCCCCCAAGGTATGCCACAAAGCACGGTCCTGAGCCACCTGCATCCATCGACTTCCTGCATGTCTTCCCAGGTCGTCACTCCTAATAGTGGGAGGTCACCCTACACTTCGCCTACCGGTACGGGGCTGCCACTCGAGAACCTTTTTTTCCCAATGGTTGTCGGTTCTTCTAGCTATATCTATATAATCGCATTAAGCAATCTAATTTAATATAATACGTATTACTTGTGAGATACATTGTGGTTTCATGCGATGGCCAAGTCAATCTATATATTTAAAACATAAAAGACTTTTAACATTGATGTGGTCACTATAAAATTTTGTTAGGTTAGCTAATTAGGTAATAACTTAAAACAGAAGGACCCTTAAGTAGGAACTGAATAAATTAACCGACTTGGTATTACATGGATCTCACAACTTTTTACGGTAGAACTGAGTTGCGAGACTTGGTTTTTTACAAGTTATGTTTTTAATGGTATATAAACTTTCTTTAACTATTATTTACTTAAAGCTGTAATCGACCTCGGAAAGAAAGTGTTTGCAAAAAAGGAGGAATATGTGACACTGATTAGAGTAAAAACACTTGAGGGTATTGCTTTATCAGATCTAGAGCCAAATAAGAAATAAGGTATTACACAAACCTCACGATGAATGCGCTTTAACAGAAATGCAGTCTCTGCATGTTTTTTGTAATGTAATGTAATTATTATGTAATGTTGTAAAACACAACTCAGAATTAAAATCTGTGAGTAAACAATAAATCACCCCTATTTTCCCACCCTTAGGGTAATTTTTTTTTCATATTTATATGGGACCAATTTTGAAATATCCTATTCGTTAAATACCCTATCCGTTAAAAAAATATCGAAATCAGACCACTCTGTAAAAAGTTATGCTTGGTCATACATAAAAAAATTTGCGTCAACCTGAGTACCTGCTCCGTTTTTTTCGTCGGTTGAAAATGGACAAAATTTATTGTTCACGATCTTTTATTAGTCCAAATTTGATAGATCTTTATAGAAAGGCACGAGCTGGTAACGGGGTAGGCCTATTGGTGAGCAGGAAACAAAATACTCTCGTACTGACTGATAATTTGGATAGATTTTCCGCCAGCCAGGTTGCTATTACGGCCTCGTCCAATAATCAGTAGGGAACAATATGCAATTGAGGTTCAAGTTTGTAACAAAAGCAGTTCTTTCTCCCTTAATAACATTTTATAGCATTCACAGTGTGGCGGCGTTAATTTCTGAACGCACCACTTCAACTAAACACTGTAATGTAGATCTGGCAACATTGTGAGAGACAATTATTATGAGGCAATATCTGTAGACATAAACGATGTCTCTCAGTGTTTTCCACTCAATTAATTGTTTGAGTGAGGCTCACAGAAAATGTACCATAACACACAAGAACTTGTAACACACGATAACACACTGGAATTGTGTAACACACTGGAAATGTTGTTAGGCTTGATGCACATAATGCAATAAAAAAATTGAATTTCAAATAAAATACGATTATAGATAGAATTATTTATTTAATAAAACAAATTAAAAAACAAAGAGATCAAAATTTGTACTTAGAATTACACAATCGTATATATATATGGCATATATATGAATATATATATATATATATATATATATATATATATATATATATATATATATGGCAAAAAAAAAAGAAGTTTTAAAAAAAAAATGAGGGGGCCCCCCCCCCCCCCCGGCCCCCCCTTTGAACCCAAAAAAAACACACCACAAACCCCCCACACCCCCCCCCCCCCCACACAACCCCCCCTTATTTTTTGATCTCCAGAGAACGCGACCCCCAGGGCGAGAGGAAAACTTTCTGGTAAAAATATATATATATTTATGTTATATCTACCTACTTGTAAATATTCTACTCAAAATAAACCTTATCGCTAGGATCAGCTAAAAAGTATTCTTTTGGTCCTGCTTAACTATTAAATCTTCAGTTACAGTGTCTTCATTTTTTATTTTATGAATTACAAACTTTAGCTCCGGTTTTTAATGGTTTTCAGAAATCGTATGGTAAAATAAGATTTTCCTTCTTTTTTAAAACTGTCTTCCAAGAATCCTATGTAATACTTCCACGCGGTTCTTTGATAATACCTTACAAGTACAGTGTCTTTGAAAGATAGCCTCCATATGTCTGTATTAATTTTTGTTGTCACTTCCCAGTCATTTTTTGCATTGTCAAAGTTATTTTCATCATCCTGCAGAGTCGTAGCAATCACAGATTGTCCAGCTAAATTAGTTTTAACTACTCCCTGATTTTCATTAGAAAAAATGTTTATTTCTCTTGTGTATGTATTTTTTTTTATCTTCATGGCTTGATTGTTCTATTTTTTCTCTCTCTATTTTACTTGTGTCTGATATTTTTCTTAAATTTGTAACGTTCTTCTGTTCCTTCAATTGATAATCCATATGATCCAGACAATGATCATCTGATAAGATATCATCTGTAATGTGATACTCTTCAGCAGAAGTATCATGCACAGAAATCGTCATATCTTCGTCTGTACTGCTCTCCTCTTCCGTTTTAAGTTTCTTATTTGTTTTAAGTTGTTGTTGTATTTGTATGTCTTTTATTTTTCTTTTCTTTGAACATTTCTTCATTCTGTCATGAGAATTTTCTTCCAAACTTTTTCTAGCAATGTCTGTTTTGAGGTTTATTTCTTTTAAATTGAATGAGCCATATTGTCTCAAATTAAAATAAGACCTGTTTTCTTGAGTATTTTTAATGTCAGCTAATACTGTTATAGACATTTTAGACGGAATAGATTTTCATTTAACATTTCTGTTTGCTTTAGCACGTCCGCAGATTTCAGATTGAGACAGTCGCAAAAACCTGGTCTACTCTTTTTCGCAGAAGCAACTTAAACATCGGTAGGAAATAGAGTTAGCTGAGTCAACATTGTTAATAATCTGATGTATTTTCATCGTGTTTGGTACTGGTACGAGTTCTACTGATTCGTTCAGCATGGCATCTTCAGGTATAAAGAAAAGCTGTATTTTGGTTTTAGACGCTTGTAAAAATTCATAAGCTGTTTTAGCGTCAGGAACATTTGAACCATAATACAATTGAGTCTAATTTTCTTTTAATGGCTCCTCCTACACCATCAGCGGCTCCTTTACCGTGTGACGCTTCGTAAAAGTTCCACGTGGAAAATGGAAAGCCCAACTATTTCGTCAGTTTGCGAAATAATAAAAGTTTTTCTTCTGTAGGTATTGTACAGTTGTGCCATCTGAATAAAAGTGAATCCCGTCTACTTTGGGTAGTTTCTCCTTGACCAACTTAAGCACAGGTAAGAGATGTGCCCAAATGGCATCTGGTCAGTGGTCTTTGTTTGGACTTAAACTTGCAAAAGATTGATGACCTTTCTCGGTATATAACATCCCAGTGTGGAGACTGATCTGTTGTCTGGACCCATCAAAATGCATGGCTTGTATTTCGGTGGCTAATTTGCAAGAATAGTTTTCCGAAAAATCGACGTGTACAACGACAGTACGGTCATCTAAATTTTCTATGCACTGCCGATATTGTTTGTACTGATGCACGATATTGTAGGAATGGATTTTGAAACTTTGCAGTTCTTCTTGAAAGGCATCTAGGAGCATTTTTAGCGAACCAGTTTTTTTTTCTATGACGTTTTTTTTCGTAATCTTTGTTACATCACAATTTTTTTTGGTTTGTATTCATGAGATTTCAAAACCCATTCATCCCATGAAACATTATAGTTTAGACCTTTTTCACCCATAGAAAAATCAATACGTTTGTTTTTGCAAAAATCACAGTCTCCGTAAGCACATTCCTTTGACTTTGAAGAACATACAACCATAACTCATCAAGATCTGTTGTTGCTATTAAGCCAATTGACTACAATGACGTGGCTTTCATTTGCAAATTTTCGTGCCTCTTGCAAGCGCAAGTTTCTCGTTTCTCGGCTTTTGGTGGTAATACATAAAAGGGTCTGTACCTTTTGAAAGTTGAAAATGATAATTTTCCTCCTTCTTCTCTATATTTCTGATATAATTTATGTAGAGTGCCAAGCAAATACTTTCTCTGTTTTTTTTTTGTGTCTTTACTTCGTTTTTCCCTGCTGTCATCCTACTCACATCATCCCTTTCATAAAAGTTTCTTAACTGTGTCTGTATTAATGGGCTTTTATTTTTCTGTTTAGTGTGACGAATTTTTCCTTTAAGACCTAAATAGGTAGCCATCTTAGTTTTCATACTGTATTTATTAATGTTATCACTTTTGGTAAAAACATCTTTAATTAATCGTTTTTCTTGAGTGTTTTTACTTTTGTAGCTGTCTTTTATAGTGTCCACTATTATATTATGTTCTAGCAAAACTTTTTTCCACGCTTTCTCTTTCTTCAGGTCGAATACTAGGTAAATTTTGGTCAATGTATGCGCACGTTTTCGAAACGGGGGTCATTTGTTCAAGGGCTTCATCTTTTTTGGCAATTGGGCTTGACCTGTCTTCAAAGCTACGAATCATTTGGTTTTTCTCCTCAATAATTTCAAGTAACTTTTTATTTTTTTCCATAGAACGGTTTAATCTTTGCCTAATTTTTTTCAACGACTTTTTATATTTTTTTATTCCTCTTCTAGCTTTGTGTTTTCATTTTTCAGTCTATAAATGACCCTTCTATTATAATTTCTCTTCTGTGTTAAAATTTGTCCATGTCCTTCTAAAGGCACTACTTCAGGCTTAGGTTCTTTCTTACTTTTCTTCTTTCTCTCTCTCCACTGCTTTCTTATGATTACTTGATCAGATGAAGGATATTCTGCTATTCTTTTCTTTTTTTCTATTTCTTTTTGTTCTTTTTGCATTTTGTTTTTGCTGCAATTTAAATTTTTCAGGATTTACTTCTTTCAGCCGTTCTCGATAAAGTTTCTGCCTTTCTTTAGGTGTTAGAGGCATTGTAAAATCAACATAAAATAAAAATAAAAACCATGAATGCAGTTACATTTTACTTTTTGTTGTATATTAAACTTTTTTCTGGTTTAAAAACCCAAAAATAGCCTACTTTAAACAACAAATTTATATGGGACCAGCCTGAAGGCATTCTCTATTCACCAAAAAGTATTTTTGAAATCGGTCTACAGAATCTGGAGAATCGCGTAACATACATACAAAAGAAAATAAAAAATATCAGTTGAATTGAGAACCTCCTCCTTTTTTTGACACAAAACATAAATATTTAGCTTTTTCTATACCTAAGTATTGCAATGTGAACTAAGCTTTATACTTTTCACGTGTGTTACGTCACACAACTTTGTAACACACGCAACATACGTGAACAAACACTCGTGAAGAACATAACCTAAAATTCAGGTAGCATCTTTACTTGCAAAGCAAATCCGTAATAAACTGCATTATTTAGGAATATTTAATGTCTCTTTCAACTATATATATTACAAAACAACTTAATGTTATTACTTACCTTGCAAAATTATTTCCAAAAGTCTTTAAAATCCAATGACGAAAAATAACACACACCAAGTACTGCCTACTGCCCGTAAACCAAGATGTCTGACAAAACACTGACGTTTCATATTGAAAGTTATAGTGTTGCCATTGTGAAAAAAAAATAGATGACGTGTTGCTATTGCTTCTACCAAAAAAGCTGCTATGTAACACAGTTTTTGTAACACACGTGAATCAGATGAAACACATTTGTTTATTCAATCGTTTTTTAATTATTTTTTTACTAGTTTTATTACACTTATTATTAGAACAGTAGTTTTATGCAATTACATTTAGCATAACATTAAGAAATCACGATACTTTATTCAAACGACGAAGTAATGAAGAAAAAGAAAATGTACTACGCATGGACACATTTTATTTTTCTATGAAATTAAATCTCATCAACTTTTTGTACCAGTTTGTTTTTGCTTATATTAAAAAGTATTCACAATTTAAATCGAGTAATATTAACAAGCGAATAATGCCCAATACAGAAAATAATCAGATTATTTACAAAGAACTACCAAAAAATATATTATATATTCTTGAATTTTGGCACGTGAATAATATAGACGAAGTACATTTTTTGTGAGCCTCAACCGTTTTAATTTAATATTCCTTTAAGATTGTAACGTGTGAGATGTTTAGTATAACTGAGTGATAATAAACCATTATTATTTTACGCATGGACTTTTATTGGAGTGAAGATTAAAAGTACTAAGTAGTACCCATACTACTACATTGGTGACCGCCTCTTGAACTGAGTGCATCGCAACCGTAAAGGAGTACATAAACGGTGTTAACGTAATTTTTGGAACGAGCTTCAGTGAACATCTTCAGTAAGCAGTATAGTATCACATAACAACACAAGATTACAATTTAATAATTTGTTGTCATCGCCATTACAAGCCGCAGAATTGCATCGATCCGATTGGCTTAGCGTGGGCGTCGAAGAGGACTTCACTTCGACATACATTGCTGCGTGTCATCGGGGATTCGGCGTACATTGCTGCTCCTGCGTAATAAGTATACGTTGCGGTACGTTGAAAAAACATGTAGACTTACATTGCTGTTTTTGGTAATTCATTGTGTTTTTGTTTTTTTTATACAAAAAAATAATCTTCGTGTCGATCTTATCATTCATTCTAAATATTTCACGTTAATTTTAATCTTAAATAAGATAATATATTACACATATAAATATATAAATAATTAAAATTAATTAAATTCTTACAAAAATTGTTTTTGGTAGATAATTTATTTTTTATTTTCTGTGTGTTATGTGTAATTTTACATAATTATTACCATTGCACTGGGTTGACTGAATTTATTTTTTTTGTAATAGTGTTCAGGTCTCTGTTTGACACATATCAGCTGTATTTTTTTTTTGTATTGCCATTTTGTGATTTTTATATTTAGATTAAGGGTGTCTATTGTTCTATTCCTATTGTTTATGTATGTAGTCATAAAAACTGAACATCACTCTTCCACACAGTTTAGCTCCATTAGTTTCTTTAAGTAACATTAACTCACTACACAATTATCAGACATTACCATGACGGATAAAGCTGAACCTTCACCGACTGCCGATCCTAATATTGCTCAACAGATGTTTTTTTTTAAGACAGAGCTAGAGAGACTCGCTACAGTACTACATTCCACGCAACAGGAGAATGCTCTTCTTCGTGCACAAATCGAAGGTAAGCCTCTAAGAACAGAGGATACTCCCATAAACGAACTTTCCCCACAAGTTTGTAAAGTAGCGCCTAAGGTACGTCCCTTTTGGCATCAGAAACCTGCCTTGTGGTTCGCACACATTGAAACCCAATTTCGTGTAGCGGTAATCACAGGGGACCAGACCATGTACGATCATGTCATTGGTCAACTGGATTTTAGGATTACAGCTGAGATTGAGGACATCGTTACAAATCCACCTAGGACTAACAAGTATGAACACCTAAAAACGGAAATCATACGTCGTTTATCACAATCTGAAGAAGAACGTGTTCGACAGCTTCTGAACGATGAGGAATTGGGCGATCGTAAGCCATCTCAATTCTTAAGACACTTACGTTCTCTAGCTGGGAGCACACTCACGGATGAGAGCATTTTGCGTCAACTTTTCATGCGCCGCCTGCCACAACATCTTCAGGCAATCCTTGCTGCAAGTGCTGACCCACTTGATGATATTGCAATTCGAGCGGACAAAATTCTCGAAGTAGCTCCTAGCCTTGCATCATCTTCGAGCCCGTTCGTACATGCAACTTCTGCATCTTCTTCAGGTCCTACATTTGACCTATGTGCCCTGGCTGCTCAAGTACAACAGCTGTCTGCAACAGTTGCAGCGCTTACTCGAACTCGAGAAAATCATCGTAGTCGGAGTCGAAGCAAGTCAAGGAACGAAGAAGGTCAAAGGAAGTAAGTTATGCTGGTACCATTGGACGTTTAAAGAAAAGGCAAGCAAGTGCGTTAGTCCTTGTTCATGGCAAGCGGAAAACTGCCAAGCCAGTCAGTAGCGACGGCAACTGATTGTGCTAAACCAGGCCGTCGCTTGTTTTTAACGGACAAAACCAGCAAGATCAGGTTTTTAATAGACACAGGTTCTGACCTATGCTGCTATCCTCGTAGGTTGCTGGGTGGTCGAGCGTCTCCTACCAAGTATCAACTCAGTGCAGCCAACGGCAGCACCATCAAGACATATGGTAGCGTATCGCTAAAACTTAACTTTGGGTTGCGGCGAGATTTCCACTGGCAATTCGTAGTGGCGGACGTCAGCACTCCCATTATAGGTTCGGATTTTCTTGCGCATTACCATCTGCTGCCCGACTGCCACAATAAAAACGTTCTGGATGGAATAACCGGCCTTTCTGTTTCTGCATCCCTTGCCACTACGGAACAGGTTAGCGTAAAAACAATTACAGTCGATGCGGAATCACGGTTCAATAAAATTCTCGCCGAATTTCCATGTATAACACGGCCTCCAGGACTTCACAGAGACATTAAACATTCGACGGTACATTACATTAAAACGACAGATGGCCCACCAGTGTCATGTCGGCCACGTCGCCTCGCACCGCATTAGCTGGTGATTGCTAAACGTGAGTTCGATGAGATGCTTAGTAACGGCACCGCAAGACCATCCAAAAGTCCGTGGGCTTCTCCACTGCAATTGGTGCCCAAGAAGGATCTGGTTTCTTGGCGACCATGCAGTGATTATCGTTGCTTAAATGCGCGAACCATCCCAGACCGCTATCCGTTGCGTCATATCGGGGATTTTAGTAATAACATCGCTGGATCTACTGTCTTCAGTACGCTTGATCTGATAAGAGCTTACCAACAGATACCAGTCAACGATGAAGACGTATGTAAAACGGCGATCACGACTCCTTTTGGATTATTTGAATTCCCGTATATGACCTTCGGATTGCGCAATGCGGGACAAACGTTCCAACGCTTTATGGATGAGGTTTTGCGGGATTTGGATTTTTGTTTTCCGTATATCGATGATATACTCATATTTTCCCGCAATGAAGAAGAACACGCTTGTCATCTTCGCATTCTCTTTCAGAGGCTAGCCGATTACGGCATTGCCGTAAATCCTGCTAAGTGCGTACTGGGAGTAGACAGTGTCATCTTTTTAGGATACCGCGTTTCTAAAGACGGTATAACCTCCGGTATAACGGTCCTCCGCCGGAACGGATAGCCGCATTACAGGAGTACCCTCCCCCTAAGACAGTGCAGGGTCTTCGTAGGTTCCTGGGTATGATCAATTATTACAGACGATGTTTACCACGTGCGGCTGAGTTGCAAGCGCCGTTGATAAACATATTAACTGATACAAAACTCAAGGGAGCAAAACCGGTACCTTGGACGCCAGAGTTGGAGTGTGCCTTTAATGCTTGTAAGGAAAGTTTGAGACAAGCAACTCTACTCGCATATCCACAGCCTAATGCCTCCTTAGGTCTGTTCACAGACGCATCAAGTGTCCAGGTAGGTGCTTGTCTGCAGCAACGTGTAGGTAATGAATGGCAACCCCTTGCTTTTTTTAGTAAAAAGTTAACTGCTCGTCAATCAACCTGGCCTGCATATTATAGAGAACTTTTAGCCATATACGAATCCGTGAAACACTTCAGACATATTTTGGAAGTGCAACAGTGTACCATTTTTACAGATCACAAGCCTCTTCTTTATGCTTTCACTCAGCGTCGGCAGAAACTACCTCCGGTACAGTTAAATCAACTTACCTTCATTTCGCAGTTCACGACTGATATTTCACATATTAAAGGTGTGGATAACATTGTGGCTGACACTATGTCGCGAATTGAGGCAATTTCGCTGGAGGATGACTTCGCAGACCTAG